TTTTCCCCCCCCCCCCCCCAGAAAGCTTATCTGCCTTCTCTCTGCTTTGTCTCTTGACCCAGCCAGGATAGACGCTCACACGTTCGGCTTCCTCGGGGTTAAACCGTGGCTTATTGAATAAACCTCAACCTGGTTAAGTCACGAATCCCACCTTACGAACCCCGAGTTTGCCTCTAGTGATGGCACTAAGCTGAAGAAACGCGACCGCATGGTTTAGCCGTAACGTGTGAAGACGGATTTTATCTCTCTCTTCCCCCCCCCCCCCCCAACTAAGCCAGCAGAAGACCGTAGTTCAAATGCAGGCGTCAGGGTGGTTAAATGTTGGCTGAATCCGCCTGAGGATTTCCAACGCCCCGGGCTGGCCGGCTGGCACAAGACAAGGCATCGGATTACCTTTCCTAGCTTTAGGATCTCCTCGTGGCCCCCGTTCCGTGAATAATAACTTACTAACATGTATGACCCTGGATCAAAAAGGGCCCTCCTAGTACGGGCCGGCTTAGCTTTATCTTCTAGGGTCGACAAAAATGCATCAGAATAAAAGAGCCGGAAGGGACCTCGGAGATCATCTAGTCCAACCCCCTCCCTGCTCAAGGCAGGAAATTTAGATGCCAGCAACTTAAGTCAATTCCTGACGAGTTTACGATCACACACCCCTATGGTTGTCTCTTTGCGGAAAAAGCGTTGCCGTTTCAACCTTCCGTGGCATCTATGTTTTTCATTTATTTTTCAGTTTAGCTTTCAGCCTCGGGGCTTTCCTCGTGGTCTTCTTTCCCAGGCTAGTCGGAGGCGACCTGCCTTCGCTTTTTGACATCAGCTGACTCTCTCATCTAGATCTACCAAAGGAACGGAGAGAACCCCCCCCTCGGGGGAACCCACCAGGTCGACGTGAATATAAATCCTTCGTGTTCCCAGCTAAATAACTCGGGGATGTCCCATCCTGAATTCTGCGCGCCTGGCGCAGCTCGAAGGAGATCCGAATAAACCAGCCCGCTTCCAGTTCTAGCTTGTCTCCGCCACTGCGTTCCCACGACCCCCGCGCGAGCTCAGCCCGGCTCTTTCCAGGTCTAACACGCGCATTCCCACGCCAGGATCCGCGAAGCTCCCCATTGCTTAGGCTCCCCACTCTGCCCGCGGCGTTAGCTTAGGGATCCTGGGCAATTTTAGCCCGCTAGATTCTTTCTTTCTTTCTTTCTTTCTTTCTTTCTTTCTTTCTTTCTTTCTTTCTTTCTTTCTTTCTTTCTTTCTTTCTTTCTTTCTTTCTTTCTTTCTTTCTCTTTCTTTCTTTCTTTCTTTCTATTTCTTTCTTTCTTTCTTCCTTCCTTTCTTTCTTTCCTCCTTCCCTCCCCTCCCCTCCCTCCCTCCCTCCCTTTCCTTCTTTCTTTCCTTCTTTCTTCCTTTCTTTCTTTTTCTCTTCCTTCCTTCCTTCCTTCCTTCCTTCCTTCCTTCCTTCCTTCCTTCCTTCCTTCCTTCCTTTCTTTCTTTCTTTCTTTCTTCTTTCTTCTTTCTTCTTTCTTCTTCCTTCCTTCCTTTCTTTCTTTCTTTCCTCCTTCCCTCCCCTCCCCTCCCTCCCTCCCTCCCTTTCCTTCTTTCTTTCTTTCCTTCTTTCTTCCTTTATTTCTTTTTCCCTTCCTTCCTTCCTTCCTTCCTTCCTTCCTTCCTTCCTTCCTTCCTTCCTTCCTTCCTTCCTTCCTTCCTTCCTTTCTTTCTCTGACCCCAGTTTAAGCTGATCGTCTGAACCGGGCCTCAGTCTTAGAAATAGCCCGAAGCTGTTCTGCCTTCATTTCAGGATCTGGAGAAAGTTTCTCCTCCAACTTTGCACCCCCCCACACACCCACACCGCCCCGCCTCCACTCAATAAACCGTATTTGTGAGGGGGGGGGGTGTCCAGCGGGGCCACCCCCATAAAATCAATTTGGGGGGGAATCACGAAATAATCTGCCCCCGCCGTGTCCTTTGCGGAAGGAAACGCATCTCTCTGTGTGTGTGTGTGTGTGTGTGTGTGTAGGAGGGGAGAGCAAAAGAGCCCGTTCGGGTGGGGGCGTGGTGGTGCCACACGCCTCCCCGTGGGTCTCCCCTCCCCCTCCCCACCCTTCCCCTCCCCGCCTCCCCGTGGGTCTCCCCCCACCCTCTCCTCCTCCCCTTTCCTTTAAACTTGATGGATCTGCGCGCTTAATGGGCCATCAAAGCGAGGGGAGGGGGGAGGGGGGAGGGGGGGTGTCGCGCCCCTGCCTTGACGTCAGCAGAGGGCTTTATAAAGTGGGGGCGCCGATGGACACCCCAGAAGCCAAGACTGGCCTGGGCTCAGCACCGGAGACACTGAAAGCATCTCCGCGCTCCAGCCTCGCCGCCTCGTCGCCGCTATGTTCCCTTGCCGCCTCCACTGCGCCCTGGCGCTGCTCGTGTCCGTGTCCGTGGCGTGGAGCACCGTGGCAGCGGCGCCCTCCGACCCCAGGCTCCGGCAGTTCCTGCAGAAATCCCTGGCCGCAGCCGCGGGGAAGCAGGTAAAGAGAGCCGGCGACCCCAGGCGGGGTAGGGTGGGGAAATGGCCCGAAGAGAGAGAGAGAGAGAGAGAGAGAGAGAGAGAGAGAGAGAGAGAGGAGCCCTCTGAGCGAGTGCAGAGCGCCGTCTGCCGCGCCCGATCCCGAGAGCTGCGGGAAGCTGGATCCGACAGGAAGAAAGGGAGATTCCCCTGCTTTGTTGACTCACTAAAGGCAAAGGTAGACTCTTCCTGTCCATGGAGGTTTAATTCCTAACTCTCTTGGGGAGGAAGGACCTTGAAGCAGCTGGGCTAGGGTAGCCCAATGGTTTGGACCCTCCGAGGACCTCCAGGTAGGTAAACAGCGCTCGAAGATATGAGCCTCCCCCCCCCCCCCCCCCGAGCCTGGCTGATTTCCACTGGAAGAAGTTCAGGGATAAACTGTTACTGAACCTGGAGGCTTTACGGAGCTGCTAGGACGACTGAACTCAGTGCTGAGTGGTCCCTTAGTGCCGAGATCGGGCTGAGGGTCCGCACCCCAGTGCGGTCGGTAGGAGCAATATGATAGACAGACAGACAGACAGACAGACAGACAGACAGACAGACAGACAGACAGACAGACAGACAGGAAAAAAGGGAAGAGAGGGAAGGAGATGGAAGCATGGAAAGAAGCTGGAAGAGAAGGGTATGGAAGGAAAGGAGGAAGGAGATGGGAATGGAAGGAAGGAAGGGAAGAAAGGAAGAAAGGAAGGAAGGAGATGGGAAGGGAAGGAAGGAAGGAAGAAATGAAGGAAGATGGGATGAAAATAAGGGAGAGGAAGGAAGAAGATGGGAATGGAAGGAAGGAAGGGAAAGAAAGAAGGAAGAAAGGAAGAAAGATGGGATGAGAATCAGGGAGAGGAAGGAAGAAAGGAAGGAAGAAAGATGGGATGAAAATAAGGGAGAAGAAGGAAGGATATGGGGATGGGAAGGAAGGAAGGAAGGAAGATGGGATGAAAATAAGGGAGAGGAAGGAAGGATATGGGGATGGGAAGGAAGGAAGGAAGGAAGGGAAAGAAAGAAGGAAGGAAGAAATGAAGGAAGATGGGATGAGAATCTGGGAGAGGAAGGAAGGAAGGATATGGGGATGGGAAGGAAGGAAGGAAGGAAGGGAGATGGAAGGAGATGAAGAATAAAGGAGACGAAGAGATGAGAAGTGGAAGGAAGGAGTGTGAGAGGAATAAGGGAAGGAAGGAAGGAAGGAAGGAAGGAAGGAAGGAAGGAAGGAAGGAAGGAAGGAAGGAAGGAAGGCAGGCAGTCTGCCATTGCTGAGGCATTGAGGATTCTGGTGAGGATATCTCTCCATCTCCCGTCCTCACTGTTTTTATAAAAAGGCAGCAAACATATTCAACACACCTCCCTCCTCCTATTTTCCCCACAACCACCCTGTGAGGTGGGCTAGGTCGAGACCCAAGTCACCCAGCCGGCTTTCATGGCTAAGGGGACACTTGAACTCCTGGTCTCTCGCTTTCTAGCCCGATGCCTTAACCCCTAAACCAGATTGGTTCACCTGTCCTGCTCCAGAAGTAGCTCACGCTTGAATCAGGATTGCAACTCATCACGGAGGACACACACACACAGAGAGAAATAGAGAGAGAAACGGGAGGAGAGAAACGGAGAGATAAAAACACACAGAGAGAAACAGAAACGGAGAAAAAGAAAAAAACAGAGAGAGAAACACACAGAGAGAAACAGAAACAGAGAAACATATATAGAGAGAAACAGAGAAAGAAACAGAAAAACACAGAAACATAGAGAAACGGGGAGAGAGAAACAGAGAGAAAAACAGAGAGAAAAACACACACAGAGAAACAGAAACAGAGAGAGAAACGGGGAGAGAGAAAAACAGAGAGAGAAAGAGAGAAAAACAGAGAGAAAAACAGAGAGAGAGAGAGAGAGAGAGAGAGAAAGAGAGAGAGAGNGGAGAAACACACAGAGAGAAAAGAAAAGAGAGAGAGAGAAACAGAGAGAGAAAAAAACAGAGAAAGAGAGAGAGAGAGAGAGAAACGGGGAGGGAGAAACACACAGAGAGAAAAAAAGAGAGAAAGAGAGAGAAAGAGAGAGAGAGAGAGAGAGAGAGAGAGAGAGAGAGAGAGAGAGAGAGAGAGAGAGAGAGAGAGAGAGAGAGAGAGAGAGAGAGAAACGGGGAGAGAGAAAAACACAGAGAGAAAAAAAGAGAGAAAGAGAGAGAAAGAGAGAGAAAGAGAGAGAGAGAGAAAGAGAGAGAGAGAGAGAGAAACGGGGATGGAGAAACACACAGAAAAAGAGAAAGAGAGAGAGAGAGAGAGAGAAACGGAGAGGGAGAGACACCGAGAGAAACAGAGAGAGAGAAACAGAGAGAAAAAGAGATTTTTTTACTGTTCGTTTTTAGCGCAACACAGCCGCTTTTCTAGAATAACCGCGGCGAATTCTTCCACCCATCTCAAAAATCTGGCGGTTCTTCTCTTAGAAAGGACCCTTAGATCTACACCCCCCCAAAAAAAACCCCTCATGCCCCCCCACCCCCAAATAATTGTATAGGACCGGGATGAAATCCTATCCTGGAAAGCAAGGCGGGAATCCGTCCCAACGAACGAGACTTTTTTGGGGGTGGGGGGGGTGGGGGGGAGCGTGGAACTCTCCAGGGTTCTGAAAAGACAGACCGAGATTAAACTCGGATCGCCAGGCTTGCGGATGGATGCGGGTTGAACCAGTACACGGGCTGTTTTCGTGGTGGATGCATCCCCACACCCACACACAGCCCACAATACACAACACACACACACACACATACGCAATGCTTTCAAGTTTCTCAACACTGGAGTCAGAAGACGAGAGGGGTGGCTGAACGTTGAGTTGACATCAAGTCACTTGCCTTGGAGAATGCCCCAAATAAGACCAAAGGACAATCCCACGGAAGACTTCTAGGCCTGGAAAGGGACCTTGAAGGTCTTCTAGTCCAACCCCCTGCCCAAGGCAGGAGTCCTTATACCAGACAACTGGTTGTCCAATATTTTTCTTGAAAACGTTCAGTGACGGAGCACTCACAACTCCGAGAGATAAGCTGATGTGAGAGCAGTGGTTTCAGACTTAAAAAAGGCATCGTGGTTTGTAGCAGATAGCTAAGAAAAAAAAGGCTTAGTCCAGCATACGTCCATAGTGGAAAAAAGGCACCACAGGGCTTAATATCAAGAAAAAAACCTCAAAAATGCATTTGAGAAAGTCGTCACGCAAACACACGGACTCTAACGCTTGCGATAAAATCCACGAGGCAGCCACTTTTGCAATATGCACATGCTCCTTCTGAAAAAAAGATGATTAAGAAGGTGGCAAATAACTATAATTTCTTTATGGATAGGGGTTTGAAAAGAGGCAGCTATAGAAGAACAGAAGTGTAGAATATTATGGTCCTACGACACAAAAGCTTCTGCCCAGCGTAATATTAAAACTGGGCTATCGTGCGTCGCCCCGTAAAAATAATTCCAAATTCGCTACGGATTTATTTGTAGAAAGAGATGATTCAATAGAGAAGAACCTAAGTCCAGAATATGACATGTTGTACTGAAAAAGAGGGGGAGAGTTCCACCTGCTGAGTTATGAAAACTGGCCTGCCGTATATAGAATTGTGAAATAACTACGCAGCGACATTCGTGTTACGCAGCCAAGCTTAGGGTGCTGTCTGTGATTAAACCAATTGTAGAAAGCCAGCACATCTGTTCCTCTAAAGACAGTCGCTAAATGAGAGGCGAATGAGCAAGAACTGCGAAGAAGAATCTGAATTGCACCAGCTCTGCAGAAATAACACAATTTTGCTTTCCGTCCTGCGCACAAATATTTCTCTCCAAAACCACGAAGGGAATGAAGTTCGTCTTATAAATTTCCGGGGCGAGGAACAACCCTAGAGAAGAAACATGGACTTAGAGAAGAGTCCATGTCGATTCTAAGTTTTTCCAACTTAGAAACCTTAAGATGGGTGGACTTCAACTCCCAGAATAGAATAGAATAGAATAGAATAGAATAGAATAGAATAGAATAGAATAGAATAGAATAAAAGCAGGAATAGAATAGAATAGAATAGAATGCAATAGGGAATAGAATAGAATAAGGAATAGAATAGAATAGAATAGAATAGAATAGAATAGAATAGAATAGAATAGAAGCTGGAAGGGACCTTGGAGGTCTTCTAGTCCAGCCCCGTGCTCAAGCAGGAGAACCTATACCATCTCAGACAGGTGAATGTCTAGTCTTTTCTTAAAAATCTCCAGTGATGGAGCGCCCACGATTTCTGGTGGCAAGCTGTTCCACTGGTTAATTGTCCTCACTGTCAGGAAGTTTCTCCTTAATTCCAGGTTGCTTCTCTCTTTGGTCAGTTTCCAACCATTGTTTCTCGTCCTTCCCTCTGGTGCTTTGGAGAATAACTTGACCCCCCTCTTCTTTGGGGCAGCCCCTCAGATACTGGAACCCTGCTATCATGTCTCCCCTATTTCTTCTTTTCTCTAGACTAGCCAGACCCAAGTTCCGCAGCCGTTCTTCGTATGTTTTAGCCTCCAGGCCTTGGATCATCTTAGTTGCTCTTCTCTGAACTTTTTCCAAATTCTCAACATCTTTTTTTTGTGATATGGTGACCAAAATTGGCTGCAGTGTTCCAGGTGTGGCCTTACTAGGGCTTTGTAAAGTGGTACTAATACCTCGCGTGATCTTGATTCTATGCCTCTGTTTATGCAACCCAGGCTTGGATCTGCTCCGACTTTTCGTGAGAAAGAGGAATACGGCTAGTCCTCTATTTATGACCGATTGCTTAGTGACTATTTGAAGTTATGAGGGACCTGCCTTGGGCTTATTTAGAGATGGGAAGTCCTGGAAAAAAAATACTGGAAAAATTGAAAAAAAAACCAACAGGTTTTTCCCCCCGTTTTTTTTTTTCCCCAAAAGGCTTTGGAAAAAAATGAAAAATCAAACCAAACCCAATTTTTTCCAGGTTTTTTTTCCCAGGTCTTCCCACCTCTACTTTATGACCCAGATTTGAAGTTCTGATGGGTCACACCTTTCCCACCTGTGATCATGTGACCAAAGGCCATTGCAGTATCCCGTAGTCACCTTTAACCATGTTTAACAATGGTTTTATTGAAAACCGGTATTTCCAAGTTTTGGCCAAACTGGGCCCACAGTAAATCATTGATCTGCTTAATGACCGCTGCAAAAAACATCATTTTACAACTGTCCCTATATTTTATGACCGTCCCGACTTATGACCGTGATGGTAGGCACCATTATGCTCGTAAATTGTTGTCTAAATGCACCTTAATCTGAGTTAGTGAAAGACCCCAGTGGCTACGTTTATTAGAATGTGCTGGGTCTGGCTTAATTTTAATCTTCGCTTAATGTTCTTATTCTTGTGGTGTAGTAAATAACACAGGATTATTCACCTTAGCTTGTTTGGTTTTCCTAGTTCCGTGCATTGTGGGAACCTGGAAAAACAAGTGATTTTAATAATGGGATACGGGAATTGTGTGAACTCAACCACCCATCCCCGAGTTAGCCATATTCATTCACATCTAACCAAGGTCAGGTTTAGCTGCGACTGCCTGAAGCTTAATCAGCTTGATGAGTTTTCTCCTCCTTTCTCAAAGTGTTGTACGAATGCAATCTCTGGTTAGTTTATAATAATAATAATAATAATAATAATAATAATAATAATAATAATAATAATAATAATAATAGTTGGAAGGGACCTTGGAGGTCATCTAGTCCAACCCCCTGTTCAGGCAGGAAACCCTATACTATTTCAAACAAATGGCTGTCCAGTCTCTTCTTAAAGACTTCCAGTGTTGGAGCATTTAAGAGCGAAACAGAAACAGCGAAACCGTTTGATGTGCGTGGTGTTAAAACCGCACTCAAAAAGGCTCAGTCAACAAACTATGATTAAAACAAACCGTGGCTTAGCATACCAGACAAGTCTACCCTCCCTCTTAATGTTTCTACCTCTGTGGGTTTCATTTTTGGTCTGTTTGAACGCAAGCACAGTGCACACGGATGATTATATAACCAACCAAGTCCCACGTTGTGTCAATTGTGTATCACCCCGGGATGCTGTAGATGGGGCAGACTGCAACTCCATTCACTTGAGCGAAGTCCAACCACTGGCTGGGGATGATGGGAATTGCAGTACAGCCTGCTGGGAAAGCAATTGCCTTTCCAGAGCGCACCGTAATGTCTTCCCAAAATTATATGTCCTTCTTTATTTTGCGACTCTAGAAAACCTTACATTAAAAGAGAAATACAGTATTTGAAATTAGCACAACAGTCTAAATGAAGAAAACTTTCCATAACTGTGTGACAGATATAAAAAAAAATTAAAGCCCCATGATAAGAGCCAGTAAATTTTACAAATAAGTAAAATGCAACATTTACTTATTTTTTAATAAACATTTATTTATTTACAAGTAAATAAAATAAAAAGCACAGAAGGAAATTTAAAACATGAATGGGACACGATGTAGCCTCACATAGACCGCCGTGTCCTCAGCAGAACATCGCAAAAATTATATAATAAGAGTGATTTCAGTTTGTGTAAGTGCCACATTAGACGTTGGAATTTGGGGGTATGCTGCTTAAAAGACGAGTTACTTGCAAATACAGGTAGAATCCATTTAGTGGCGGTTCGCCGCACTGCAAAACGTGACTTATGACCTTTTTTTTCACACTTACGACTCTTACAGAATTTCTACAGTCACGTGATCAAAATTTGGAGGCTTGGAAACTGGCATGTACTTAACGACGGTTGCGGTGTCCCCGGGTCATTTGATCCCCTTTGGCGACTTTCTGACGTGAATTCAATGGCAAAGCCATTAATGTTGTCGAGGGAGCTGTGTGAACACAGGTTTTAAAGGTCCCCCATGACCGGATCGCACGATCAGCGGATTCTGCATGTTAGGAAAAATGAACTTTTATATAAGGAACATATGAGGAACGGTTGCTGGAATTGAGTATGTCTCGTTTAATGACGAGAAGGACAAGGGGGGACAGGATAGCAGTGTTCCAGTATCTCCCAAAGAAGAGGGAGTCAAGCTATTCTCCAAAGCGCCTGAAGGCAGGACCAGAAGTAACGGATGGAAACTCATCAAGGAGAGAAGCAACCTGGAACTGAGGAGAAACTTCCTGACAGTTAGAACAATTAACCAGTGGAACCATCTGCCTCCAGAAGCGGTGACTGCTCCAATACTGGAAGTTTTTAAGAAGAGACTGGACAGCCATTTGTCTGAAATAGTATAGGGTTTCCTGCTTGAGCAGGGGGTTGGACTAGATGACCTCCAAGGTCCCTTCCAACTATTATTATTATTATTATTATTATTATTATTATTATTATTATTATCCTACAAACCCCATGTTGGTAGCGATGGGAAATTGAGAGCACGGTAGGTAGACCTCCACTTATGACCGTCGCTAAACCTGGCGGTTGTTAAATGAGGCACACCCAATTTCGCAATTTCTCTGCAAAGCACTCCAGTCCTTTAGGGAGTTGGCAAATCCTTCTTCCTCCGTTGACTTTGCGTGTCGGAAGCCGGCTGGGAAAGTTGCAAAGGGTGATCATGTGACCTCCCCCGGGAGGCTGAAACCGTCGTATAGCCACGCTGGTTGCCCATGGGCTGAGTTTTGAACTCAGGACTGTGGGGGATGCGGCCACAGCTGGAAAGGTGAGACCTGGTGGGACCTGTTTAATTCGCCTTTTGGATCTGGAACGGTGACTGGAGGCCGGGTGGCCCAGGGGTTAAGGTATAATAGATAGAAGACTTACATCTATATCCCAATGGAAGAATTCTACACGCAGCCTGCTGTCTATCAAGGGAGCGAGGTCAGGACAGTGGAATTGAACCCATGACCCATGTTAAGAAAATGGAGGGGGGCTGCAGATGCTTTATCTTGAGTTGTGGATGCTCCATCATTGAAGGCTTTTAAGAAGAGACTGGACAGTCTACTGCTTGAGCAGGGGGTTGGACTAGAAGACCTCCAGGGTCCCTTCCAACTCTATTCTATTCTATTCTATTCTATTCTATTCTATTCTATTCTATTGCATTCCATTCCATTCCATTCCATTCCATTCCATTCCATTCCATTTCATTCTATCCTATCCTATTCTTTCTCTATTCTATTCTATTCATTTTCTGTATTCTATTCTATTCTATTCTATTCTATTCTATTCTATTCTATTCTATTCTATTCTATTCTATTCTATTCCTATTATTCTATTCTATCCTATCATATCCTATCCTATATTCCAATATTTATTCTATTCTATTCTATTCTATTCTATTCTATTCTATTCTATTCTATTCTATTCTATTCTATTCCATTCCATTCCATTCCATTCCATTATTATTCTATTCTATTCTATTCTATTCTATTCTATTCTATTCTATTCTATCTAGAAGAATGTGTGCTGATCTGGGTGTGGTATTTACGTGGTGTTTGCTTGGGTGTGATTTTTTAGTTGTTGATCGGGTTGTTGATGGCTTACTTTTGCTGTAAGTAAAGACACTGGTGCTTAATTTCTGCATGAATATTTTGAGGCCACGCAGGACCCACGATGCAACTTATTGCAAATGCCTGGCAACATCCTAAATAAAAAAAAACCCCATATTTTGGTCACCACGATTCAAAAAAGATGTTGAGACTCTAAAAAGAGTACAGAGAAGAGCAACAAAGGTGATTAAGGGGGTGGAGGCTAAAACATATAAGGAACGGTTGCTGGAATTGGGTATGTCTAGTCTAATGAAGAGAAGGATGAGGGGGGGCATGATAGCAGCCTTCCAGTATTTGAGGGGCTACCCCAAAGAAGAGGGAGTCAAGCTATTCTCCAAAGCGCCTGAAGGCAGGACAAGAAGCAACGGATGGAAACTCATCAAGGAGAGAAGCAACCTGGAACTAAGGAGAAACTTCCTGACAATGAGAACAATTAACCTGTGGAACTGCTTGCCTCCAGAAGTTGTGGGTGCTCCATCGCTGGAGGTTTTGAAGAAGAGATTGGACAGCTATTTGGCTTTAATGGTAGAGGGTTTCCTGCTTGAGCAGGGGGCTGGACTAGATGACCTTCAAAGTCCCTTCCAACTATTATTCTATAAGGATCTCCTGCTTGGGCAGTGGGCTGGACTAGATGACCTCCAAGGTCCCTTCCCACTGTTACTCTGTTAGGGTCTCCTGCTTGAGCAGGGGGCTGGACAAGATGACCTCTGATGTCCATTCCAACTCTTATTTGGTAAGGATCTCCTGCTTGGGCAGGGGACTGGACTAGAGGACCTCCAGGGTCCATTCCAACTGTAAGGGCTTCCTGCTTGGGCAGTGGGCTGGACTAGATGACCTCTGATGTCCATTCCAACTCTTATTTGGTAAGGATCTCCTGCTTGGGCAGGGGGCTGGTCTAGATGACCTCCAAGGTCCCTTCCAGCGCCATCGTTCTGCTCTTCCTGTCCAGTCCTTTGACCCGGCTCTCTCTTTTCTTCCCGCCTTCCCAGGAATTGGCGAAATACTTCCTGGCAGAGCTGCTGTCCGAACCCAACCCGCCGGAGAACGAGGCCCTGGCTTCCGACGACCTCTCCCGCGGGGCCGAACAGGATGAGGTCAGGCTGGAACTCGAGCGATCGGCGAACTTGAACCCGGGCCTGACCCCTCGGGAGCGCAAAGCCGGATGCAAAAATTTCTTCTGGAAAACCTTCACTTCCTGTTAGCTTTCCAACTCTCCTTTCCGTCCCTTTCTCTCTTTCTCGCTCTCTTTTCTTAGTCTCTTCACGCCAGGAGCTGAAGACTGTAATATATATATAAAAAAATGATATTAAAAAAAAAAGAGTCCAATTTGGTTTTGAAGCTGTTTTAATAAAAACTTTCCGTTTCAATTGTACACACCTTCCTGGAGTTTGTGATCTCTCTTTCTTCGGAATCCCCCTCCCGGAAAACCGACCCTGCATTTTGGCTGATTTAAATTCTTTCTCTCTCTCTCTCTCTCTGGCAATAAAGCTTGTGTTTCAAAGTGTCCTGGTTGCAGCTTTTCTCTATCATTGATGGGTTAAAGCTCGTCCATCGATCCGTGGATCGACCGATCGATCATTAATCGTCCGATGATTGAAATTCAAAGCGAGACCTCATTACCGTTCCAGGTCCTTTTTTAACGCAGTAAAAAAATCGAGCAAAAGCCTTCCAATAACAGATCCGAAATTAGGAAGGCCTCCTAGAATGAGGGTTAATTAGGTTAAACACCCAGGTTAAGCCGGTTGTGTGAACAGAAGCACAATATAACTAGACACGCTTCCTAGAATGTGGGTTAAGAAGAACACCCAGGTTAAGCCAGTTGTGCGAATAGAAGTACAATATAATTAGGAACCTTTCCTAGAATGTGGGTTAAGAAAACACCCAGGTTAAGCCAGTTGTGCGAACAGAAGCACAATATAACTAGGAACTCTTCCTAGAATTAGGGTTAGGAAGAACACCCAGGTTAAGCAAGCTGTGTGAACAGAAGGCGACCCCAAGGGGGAGGGCCTTCTCTGTGGGAGCTCCCACCCTCTGGAATGAGCTGCCCCCAGAGATCAGGGTGATCCCTGATCTCCCTTCCTTCCGCCGCGCCCTTAAGACATGGCTATTCCAACAAGCGGGACTGGCCTAGGGCAATTTTTAGAGGGGTTTTAATCATATTTTAATTAGACAACATTTAAATATTTCTTTTTAACTAATTTTAATTTTGTAATTGTTATTGGTGTATTTTTAATTGATTGTCAGCCGCCCTGAGTCCGCAAGGAGAAGGGCGGGATATAAATTCAATAAATAAATAAATAAATAAATAAGCCAGTTGTGTGAATAGAAGCACAATATAATTAGGAATGCTTCCTAGAATGTGGGTTAAGAAGAACACCCAGGTTAAGGAAGTTGTGCGAATAGAAGCACAATATAATTAGGAACTCTTCCTAGAATGAGGGTTAAGAAAACACTCAGGTTAAGCCAGTTGTGTGAACAGAAGCACAATATAATTAGGAACGCTTCCTAGAATTAGGGTTAAGAAAACACCCAGGTTAAGCAAGTTGTGCGAATAGAAGCACAATATAACTAGGAACGCTTCCTAAAATTAGGGTTAAGAAGAACACCCAGGTTAAGCAAGCTGTGTGAACAGAAGCACAATATAATTAGCAATGCTTCTTAGAATGAGGGTTAAGAAGTTAATACCCAGGTTAAGCAAGTTGTGTGAACAGAAGCACAATATAATTAGGAACACTCCCTAGAATGATGGCTAAGAAGTTATACATGTTTTTATTCACACAACATGCTTAACCTGAGTAGTGACTTAAATCATCTTCTGTGTTGGTTTAACAAAAGAAACCATTGATGTATAGGTTGTCCAGTGTGATATAGGCACTACATCCCTTACGCGTAAAACTAAGGAACATCTTAACACAATGAGTTGAGCGGCCCTTTTGATGGAACAAAGTTAAGCTATCGAATTAACCCGTTTGCTGAATTTTCACACAACATGGATCCAACGAGAGGCCGGCCTCCGTTTGCGCAACGCACGAACTACACACGCACTTATACACATTACCTAACCAACATCGCTATTGACTCAGCTTGGCAGGTTGTAGGAAATCATTTTAACCTGTCCTTCTTAGGCCATAAACATGGTGAGAACGCAGCCGTGGCATTGATTTAAAGAGCCTGCAAGAAAATAGCAGGTGTGCAAATGGCTTTGTGTGTCTCCCCTGCATGCAATCAGCCCGCCTTCAAAGTTCTAACCGAAGAAAAATCGATTGATCCTTGATATGGAAATGAAAAAGAGATCAGTCGTGGAAGCGGAGGGGAATAATGGCTTCAAAGGAGATGCTGCGGGCTGCTTTTGGGAGACCTGCTTTGTTCCACTTTGGAGATAAGTGATTAACGCAGCTACCTGAGCATCATCCAGAAAGATCTTCCATAGGAATAGAGAAGACCCAGCTACTTTCCTTCCTTCCTTCCTTCCTTCCTTCCTTCCTTCCTTCCTTCCTTCCTTCCTTCCTTCCTTCCTTCCTTCCTTCCTTCCTTCCTTCCTCCCTTCCTCCATCTTCTTCCTTCCTCCCTATTCTCCTCTCCTCTCCTTCCTTCCATCTATCCTTCCTTCCGTCCTCCCTCCATCTTCTTCCTTCCTCCCTATTCCTCTCTCCTTCCTTCCTTCCTTCCTTCCTTCCTTCCTTCCTTCCTTCCTTCCTTCCTTCCTTCC